TGGATTTCAATTGCTTTTCCGATCCGCACCGTTCAAACGATCGTGGATCCTCCGACGTGGATCCTGGATCGTCCAGACCCGCACCACAGGTGGATGAGGAGCAGGTGAGACATGCCATGGCTGACCCTGAGATCCAACAAATTCTGCATGCCAGGGAGCTCAGCATAGCCGCACGTTCCTGTTTCTTTCGCCTTCTTTTTGGCCAAGTTGATCTTCTTTTCACTGGGTTTTGATGAGTTTCATGACGAGGACATGTCAATGTCATTTGGGCCAAGAGCAACACGTTTGTTTTGGATACACATCCGGTGGTACAGAATAGAGCCGTTTCAAGAATTCATTTGGTATGGAAAGGAGTCAAACTGGTACATATCTATATATATTTGTTTGCTCATGCAACTCAAAGAGGAGGCGGAGATGAAGCATCCGACAAAAATTGCTGACTGAAATTGGTGGAGCAAGAAGTGCTACCAGGGAAAAGAGCGTCCCAAGCAACATGGTTTTGGTAGATGAATACCTTCGTAATTTGATGTTCATTGTTGCATGGATGTTTCATTCAATTTAGGAGCCCAATGAACCACAGGGCTTTCACCATATCTTCGTCTTGCCACTGGCCAGTTCGGCCAGGTCACATCTGCTTGTTGCAAGGAGGATTCTGAGAAGCCATCCCAGAAACAGGTGTTAGACCCCTTGTGCTTTTCCCGAACTGAGTGAACCTCCTGAAAACCCAAAAGAACTTATCAGTTTCTGAGGAATTCTTGATTTAACTGATTCTGGTAGAGATTTAGTTCTTGGATTTCCAGTTTCTACTTTGCCTACTCACCTACTCGCCTTGTGAAATATATTTGTTTTTGACAGTCTTCCTCAATGGGGCATGCGGTTGCTCTTCCTTTTCTTTTTCGAGCGCGGTCGCATTTTGCAATACAGTCGTTTCAGAGGTTCGATGGCACTGGCACCTAAAGATGTCCTAGACAGAGGAGGGTCCTTATAAACCACCGCCATCGAACCTCTGAAACCAATGTATATGTTTCCCGATTCCGAGCAAGCAAATCAAAGTAGATATGAAGACACTGCCTTGGAGAGGAAGCTGGTTTCATTCACGTCACCTGCTTCGCACGGATACGAAACCACCTGAGGATCCTCAGATCAACATGTTCTTGAAGGAGATGCAGAACAATCCACGAGAAGCACAGAAGCAGATGATGTCGGACTGGGATGGGTAACGGAACATTGTGGGAGGTGAAGTGCTTGGCTGAATGAAATGGCGAAGGTTCGCGGTTCCGCAAGACCACATAGGAGACCCACTTTCGGGTATATCTTCACAAGTTTGGCTCGGATGTGACCCAAGAGCGGGAAAGATGTGGAACTGTTGACCCGACGTCCAAGGAGAAGATATGAAAAGATCACCACGGACTCTCACCAATAAGAGTGTTGTGATGTGTCTTGAGTCTTCATGTGTTTGCCATTGTAATCCGATCGTCGTTTTGTTCCAGCAACTTGATCCATGTGTGCAACATACATCGGAATCTCTCATGTCTTCGCCGCTGACGTGGTATTCAGCCCTTTTGCCAGCCGCGGAGGATCCAAAGTTGCAAGAAGCTGTTTCCAAGCTGGTGGCTGCCGGAATCATCCGGACCGGATGAGAGGCCCCTCGCCGGGTTGAGCTGCATGTCTTGAGCTGTGAGTCCCAGGTTCGATGGTGGGCCCAGGTTCGATGTTTTAGACAGATTCGGGGGACCATGAACCGCCAAATCTTGGGGTAACTTGTGCCATCGACTTTCAATCGTTGCGTAACTTGGGGGAAACGCTGGTTCACGAGGCCTGTTTGGCGGAGCGAGAGAGATTTGGGGATTGGGTGGGAAGTCCGCTTTCGATGTGTGGTGCGGCGGTAACCTGAACTGGTTTGAGAAGGGCTTCCTTTGCAGTATCACCCAGAAGATGAAATCATGAGTTCCCCATTGTTTGTCCTAGCGCGAACCCGCACACCCTGTGATTTTGGCTCTATGTGTGGCCAGGTGTCAGATACTTGCTTGAGGTAGTCATCCCAGGAGTGAAAAAGGAAAAGTGTAAAACATAACTTATATACTGTACTATTGCACAAAACAACAACAACAACAACAACAACAACAACAACAACAACAACAACAACAACAACAACGCAACAACAACAACAACAATCGGAAACTGTTCATGTTTTGGGATTGATTGATATTATGTTTGCTCTTGTATGTTTTTGCTTGAGGCCAAAGTTACAGCTCTGTCAACCTCGGGTCTAAGACGGCGGCATAAGAAACTTGACCTTTAACTTTGGTTCTAACTCTTGCAAGCTCTTGGTGCAAAGTCGGCCGCTGAACACAAAGCTTGTACCACACTCGCCAACAAGGCGCCTCACCACAGATCAACAAGGTGACGAAGTGGGGCTCTCTACCCCACTCTGCCCTTGTGATTCGTGTGGACAACGATTTTGAGAGTAGTTCGATCGCTTGAAAGTGGACTCCTTCAGAGCTTCCGGTGATTTCGGCATTCGGCATAGCGAGGCCAACACGTCCACCGTGAACATGGCCGAGAGTGTCCCCATGGGCGGCTGGGGTTTTGGCAGATCGCATGTGAAGTAGGCGTTTGGACTCTTAGCCGAAAGGGGTTGAAAGAGAACGAGGCCAACGAAAACCACCACAAAACGATCAAACAACTACTGCAGTAGGAGAAAGAGGCAGGCTAAGACCAACACAGGAACACAAGTAAGAATTGGGACCGCCATGTTGAGGGTGGTTATTTGACAAGACGTTTTCGAGGGTGGCCCAACAGGAGTTCAAAGCAGACCCCACAGAAAGTACAGCGCAAGAATCATTTGGCCTGACCCCACCCAAAACCTATGGGGTTGGGCAAGCCGGGCTGTTTCACCACTCTTGGAATTGATCTACACCTGTTTAATCTACGGCCACGCCATCCGCGGTAACCATGGTTGGTCGAGGGAGTGTACGTCGTTGGACATGAACCCTATGTTTCAGCCCACAAGATCCAGATACATCGAGACTTATAGCGGGGACATGCGGTTTTTCTATGCGCAGGCATAAGACCGAGTACAGTGACAGGTGGGGGACGTTTTTGAACTTGTAGCACCCTGCTTTAAGAACGCGTTTGGTGTTCTTACCGGCCCCATGTTCATCCATTTTCTATGGAGTATACGCAACTTGGAGACTCCAGAATGACAAGAAGTGCGGATGTCTCGGAATGAGAAGATTGGGCCCTCACTCTTGACATAGATTCCCAACTTTGGACACACATGAGTCGAGGGAAATGGATACAGCAAACATTCTTGCTGCGAAGCTCATTGATGGTGCCTGTGACTAATCCCAAGCAATAGATGTGTAGAAGAGCACCTCATCGGCAAAACCCTGATGTAGGTATATCTCTAGACTATACTGAATAGTTCATAAATGTTCATAATATGTCATACACTGATTGTTTGGGCCATGGCTGTTTAAGAAGCTGCTTGGGTGCTTGAAACGTGACAAAGAAAATAACCTTATGTTTACTGTACCATCAGCTGAAGCCCAGCTCCAACCCATAGAAACCCAAAGATGACAATTCGACTAGTGACGAGTCAGCTTGTGTGTTCCTAAGTTCTTCCATTGTTTGATGATGTTTAATGCAACAAACAGATACAAGACCACCAGTCATCATCTGTCAGACAGCTGAGAGTCTAGCTTTCGCTCGGTGACTTGCACAGCTACAAGCCGCCGCAGAAGCGAAGTTTGCGCTCAAAGACCGAGAGACTCTTGCGCGTGAAGTCGCACCCAAAAGACCGGTCTCCGTAGAAGAGCGCGTAGTTGGCGCGAAGTACGTGGCGCGACCACTGAAGACTCGCTCCCCCAACTTGATTGAAGGGTAAACTATTAGACCTTTCTTGCGTTGTCTTTCTTTTGTTTCTAACAGCGATGGCCTCCAACCTACTAGCGATGGCCTCGAACCTAGAAGCCTATTTGACGTACTGTTGATGAAAAGCAAAGCGTTGCAGAGTGGCTCTACATCTCCATATTTCGGGACTTTCGACGCAAGCGCGTCGCACCAGTACATCCCCAGCGTGAGAACACGTTCCGATTCGTGATGACCAACCGGACCTGGTACCCCCCCCCCTTTCGGGCAAAGACATGATCTGCGAGGAGTTGCATAGGTTTTCTGTTCAAGCCCAAGTGGTGTCCTGCTCTCCTGGTACTCTGGGATTTGCCACGAATGAAAAACACATGGTTGCTTTGCTTGTGGACGTGAGTAGCACCGATGAACTTGCACCCACCAACTTGTGATTGGGGTCTTCTTATTTTTTCACTCGAGATTTGGATGGCACAAACTGACAATTCTCCGGAAAGGTATGATTATGGATGATTTTGGGGTATTCTAATGTTCACTTGCTGAAGGAGTGGCAAGCTAGTTCCAGATTGAACTTGCTAATGACCACTTCCATGGTTTTCCAAGTGGCTTGCATATTTGTAAGCGTGGTTCATCAAGTTCTTCAGCTACCAATTCTTGTACACTCCATGGGACTGGCATATATACATACATTGACCCCTAAAACCATCCCAATGTAACACATGGAGCGTTTGGGATATATGTGTGACTTGGATTAGGGAGACTTGTCAGTTCAACTCTTGGGAAGAAGGAAAAGCCACCAAGCCCTCAGAGGGCAGCAGTTGACTCTTGCCGTCTTCCTGCCTCCACCGAACGCACCCGTCGTCCATTGTTCCTGTTGTCACTTCGAAACAGCACAGAGAGAGGGAGGTGGAGGCAGCAATCGGCTTTCGGCTTAGCCTGGTCGTGGGCGAACCACAGGCTAAGCCAACAAGCCAACCAAGATGGGCGCTGGTAGCAGGGTTTAGGCATTGGTGTGTATGTGTTATCATTTGATATATGTGTTTCAAAGCTTGGCGGCCAGCTGCAACGTTGCTTTCTTTAGACCAGATGCCACGCCATCCATGCCACTCTCCTGTCCCTCTCCGTCGATCTGCAGCTGTTTCCGTTCAGTCCCATACCGGTCGTGACCGGCGCCGGTCGTGACCGGCGGGGGTCGTGCGTGGGCTTCATGTCGATGTTCCGAGTCAAGGACCCCGGGGACCGGTGTCTTCCGAGACAGTTCATGTATGCCATAGCTACGTTGGGGTGGTGAGATGTTGGGAGTCCTTATAGGCATATATGCCATACAAGAAGTCTTTGGGAGCGTTTGGGATATGTAGAGAGAGAGAGTACTGTATAGTATAGTCTGTGCCCTGTCCTGTGGAAACGCGTCTCCGGAGGTGTCGTTCTCGAGGTCAGCGTCTCCGGAGGTCAGCTTTGCGCCGATCCAAGCCCAGCACCGATCCCATGCGGTGGTCAGCGAGGATGGTGGCGAGGTCAGAGGTCTCCCATGGGGATGGCGAGGGACCTGCGATGCCTTTGGACTCCGATGATGCCGACATCCACATCCAGTGAAGCAAGGGTGGGCTTAACCTTGGACCTCTCATGCCGAGATGGATGGCTTTGGAGCCTGAAATACTCTCGGCATGGTCGCAGTTCGAGCCAACTCACATCAGAAAGCCACACAGCGGTCGAAGTGTCCTGGACTCTCTTCAACCCGGCCCCGGTGGAAAACGGTGTAGTTGATCTCCGGCCGTGGGCAGGATGAGCTGTTTGGATTGAATCCAAATGGCTTACATCGGACAGCTCCTCATTTCTGAACAGGCTGGTCAAAGCCTAACTCTCCTGGACTCTCCAACTGCCATCCCACAAAAACGCTCGCGTAAAGCAGAGCTGTTTGGAAATCCCACACAAACGAGTGCCACTGGGCCTTTGCGAGAATGAACAGATTCCTGGCCGGGCGTGGAAGAACAAACACTGCAAAGCAATATCATGTATCTCAATATATATATATATATATATATGCTTATGATATAGTTCAATCAGATCTCAACTTGCCTCTTCTTTAGAAACAAAGTTTGAAACATAGTTTGTTTGGCAATGTTTGGCTGGTCCAAATAGGATCTTTGGCCCTGTTTGTTTGTGTCCGTCGTTGGTTATTTGAGTTCTCACCCATTTTTGTGTTCTGCTCACCTTGCGGAAGAGTTTGTTCACGGTCCCATCACGATTCTATTTGTTGGATCCATCTCTCAAAGCACTATTATACATGATTCAATCAATCAATGAACCACAAATCAATGTATAACTGATATTAGTTGATCATGCAATCTTTGAACATCTCATTACCATATATATGTTCATCAACCATGTGTTTTAGTTTTAATATGTGAAGCATTAAATCTCCAACAATACCATGTGTCTTTTCAATACAGAAGAAACGCCGAACCGCTTTTTCCCAGGAGATTGAGACGGTGCTCCGAAATGCCGTGACGGACCAGATGAAGCGTCTCGTCTCCGGCAGTTCGACGGAAACACCGGTGACGGGTCCCATGGGACTTCGGTTCGCCAGCGGTTCGGGCCAGTCGAGTCCGGTTGTGACGGTGCTTTGTTGGAGGAAAGAGCGTTGACGGGATCGGGCCATGTCGGTCGGTGGTGAAGGAATACAGGTGGGGCGTCCGAGGTTTCGGATCCGGAGTGATGTGGTTTGCACCACACGAGTTGACGGGATCGGGTGCAGATGAAGAAGACGGATTTGACCTGCAGCCAGGTCATAGGATGGTAAAAGGGTGCGGAGTTGGGTTGCTCAAAAAAAACGAGACTGGCATACCGAGCATGGGGATACTTGAGGTGTGGTTTGAAGGTCAATGTACCCTGAGCTGACTTCAAGTACACACGAGAAAATGGGACATGAACCTATAAGAGTAGGCACTGGTACGTCCGTGAAAATGGGGAACATGGGGACAACCAGGTCGACTCCAGGTCGTCCTGATAACAACAATTACAGGGCGTCCTGGATTCGTGATGATCCAGGTCGATCCGTAAAGATGGTTAAAACGGTTGTAAAAGTATTCCGCTGAGGTTTGATATGTTTTTTGTTCGATCGGTCTGAGTCTATTCGTGATACAGAGCGAGAAGGCGTGCTGTTTCGCCGCTTGAAAGCGCAGCGATTCTCGACCCGGGTGGGCGCGGGTGTCACGAAAGCCACGGCAGCCTCGCGGGGCGATCCTCGCGCGCGGAAGATCGAATGTGTGCATGTTGTTACACACTGGAAAGTTCACATGGAACCTGAAAACCACGCCCGGTTTGTAGAGGACATTCGTCTTCCAGGCTGGTCCATGACATCAGGTTCCATGTGGGTCTCTTCCCGGGTGTATGAGGAATATCCTACTGATCCATGAGAATGGCGGTGTCATCGCAGCGGCCTATCCCAAAGAGGCGAGGCAAAGCGGAGTGTTGTGGCACGGACGTGGAGTCGATTTACTCAACCATAGTACCCCGACTCCTGGTCGGGTCTGCCAACGGGGTCAGCTTCTTGTCGAATGGAACGGTTGGATGAAGTTGGATGTTGGTAGCTGAGCAGAGGCAAAATGCCGCTGTGAGTCAGGCGCAAAAAGCAAGCAGCTCAAGGGGAATACTTCAGTGGAGTGATCCTATACATGCGGAGCCAGGGATTCTCGGTTTGTTTGTTGTTTTGAACATTTTGGAAGGATTGGGTGCATGCTACAACTGTGAGTGTATAGTGTATGGGACGCAATGGAAAAAGTAGAATAGAACGGCCACAGATGGTGCCTTCGACCTGCGCTTTTTGGGGGTCAGATGGGGCTTTCGGGTCCTGCCAGTGCTTTATCCATCTTCGGGACTGACGTTCGCAGATGCGGGTTGTGAGGAGTAATGGAGTATATACCGCTGGTGACCTATAGACAAGCCCGACTTATATAGCTGGGAAGTACGTGAATCACCTGCAGGTCAGTTATTTTTTTGGGGATTATCTCTCTATGCCCACACAGGCGAGCACAGCTACTTTCCAAAGCTGCCTCTATACCCATGACACATGCACCTTTAAGGGCTATGCACCTCACTTTTCACACTCACCCCGGCCCACTGACCACAGGCGGTGGGACGTACCTTCAAAAGATGATGCACCTCTGGTGTCTCTCCTAGTGCTGGCGGTGCTTGTGGTGCACTTACATCACTGTTTGCTTGTGTGTTTTCCAGTGCTGATGTCTCTGTTTGCTGTGCAGCCGGTTCACCCTGGTGTTGTGCTGCTGGCTTTGCTGTGGATGCTGCTGTTTTTGCCAAAGGGTGATTTGCCACCTCTGCTGTCTTTGCTGATGCTGGGGTTGCTTGTGGTTCACTTGCATCACTGTTTGCTTGTGTGTTTGCCAACGCTGATGTTACTGCTTGTGGTTTGAGCGGCTCACGATTGTGTGGTGCTGCTGGCTCTGTGGATTTTTTCTCTGGCGCTGAATGGCCACCTGTCACCTTTGCTGAGGTCTTTTCCAGTGCTGGTGGTACTTGTGGTTCACCTACATTCACCATTGTGTTTTGCTGGTGGCTCTGCTGTGGATGTTTTCCTTGGTGCTGAATGGCCTTGGCTGAGGTCTCTGTCAGTGTGGTGGTACTTGTGGTTCACTTACATCACCTGCGTGTGTAACCGCCGCCAGTGCTCCCCTAACTAGGGCTTTGGGTGTGAGTCTGTTGCAATTTGTGCAAGCTGCTCGTGCTGACAACACTGCACATGTCACGCCACAATACTGGGAGGTGTGGTATGTGCATAACATATGGTGGGTTGGAAAATGTGCGTGCCTTCCACTAAAGCGACTGTCCCCTGAACAGCAAGAAACAAGACTGGCATGTTGTGAAGAAGAGTGACGATACGTTGCAGATGTTTGGTGGTGGAGGCGCCAGTGCAACAAGCGGCTGATCCACAGGACAGTTTGATCAAGGCTATGAACCAACTGAACCACATTTTTTACAAATGACTAGGTTTATACAAGGAGGGAACTGTTGAGCAATTGCAGAGGCTGTTCTGCTTGGGGCATAGGGGTCGTCGTGTAAGCATTTTGCATACGTGGGTGTTGAAAGACTTGTGTAGGCAGTTTTGCGTAGGCACATTTTTGGACCAGCACCTGCGCTTCCTGACAACATAGTTGCTGCATAGAATCGTGGAACAGACTGCGTAGGCTGTTTGGGTCAACAACAGACCTATTTTCGCGTAGGCCCCGTGTAGGCACTCGCGGAAGCAGGGCGTAGGCAAGAAGCTATTGGCTGCTGCTACTGCTTGGCTGCTTCTTCTGCTGCTGCTGCTGCCGCCGCCGCTGCTGCTGCTGCCTCTTCTTTGCTGCTGCCTCTTGTTTGCTGCTGCTCGTCTGCTGCTTGTTGTGTGCTGTTTCTGTGCTGTCTTGTGCTGCTTCTGTGCTGCTTGTGCTGTTTGTGTGCTGCTGCTTCTGCTGCTGCGCTGCTTGTCTGCTGTTTTTGCCGTGCTTCTGTGTTGCTTCTTTGCTGCTTCTGCGCAGTTTGTCCGCCGCCGCTGCTGCTGCTGCTTCCATACTGTAATATTAATACTGTAATTGGATTGGTTGGATACAAAAGTCAATGCTTTCTGCAAACGCTTTGTAACCAGAAACCTGATGTGACCCGGTCGCATCAGGCCACTACTTGCGGATCAGCTCTTTTCGAGTCACCTGATGTGACTAAAGTTGGTGATAGTACCCTGCATAGGCATCCGGCGTAGGCACCTAACAAAGAGAACCTCTCGCGTAGGACTTTGCTTGAGAGGGGGGGACAGGCCTGCACTCGCGTAGGTACAGACCCAGGGTAAAGGCACAACAACAACAACAACAAAAGTAAAAATAAAACACAACTCAACTGACGACATGAGTCAGAGCAACGCACCGACGCACCTCGGCCTACAAGGCAGAATTTCAACTGCACCTCGAACAGCTCCGCCATCAGCAGCAAATCAAAAAGGAGTTTGCTTCCAGCACGCATGATCTCCTCTTCCAGACCCAGAACAATGTGCAGCACCTGACAAACAAATCGAGATGATGAAGCAGCAACTGGCCGTGCAACAAGCTGGGCCTACGTTTGTTGCCTACTTTGTCAACTACCACACCGGGTCATAAACCTCGATGCTTTTCCTGCTCCCAGACCAGTTGTTTGGTTTGATGTGCGCCACGGCTGAATCGCTTCTTAGCGCTGGATGGAGCATCCTACGAAGTCCTTGACGGCCCCATGCAAGGCATCTACGTCAGCTTGGCGATCGAAGATGCTGCTGCAGGGTGCCAATGAGAGGGAGATCTGGACTGGACATTTGTCCCCTATCCACGTCAAGGCAAAGGTATGGCAAGTGGCTCCGTACTAAACTGAGTGCTAGTTTAACTGTCTGAGCTGCGGCAACATGTGTGGCTGGACGCGGTTTTGAAGTCTGGACTCATCCGAAGACCCTTCGCTGCTGAACAGCAGGGGGCCATCAACTTGCCCTTGCATTCATTGGATGGGTCTAAAGCCAAGCGGATGTGCATTTTAGTCGAGAGACCGCCGCTAGCCCTGACCTGGGTAGACTATGGTAAATTAGATTGGTGTATTTCCCGAACCTTCGAGGGGGTCGTTGCCTGGGATGTCTCCGTATTGTAGCACACATCCACTCTGCCCAACGTTCACGGAACTCTTGGAAGACTTGAATCGACGATTGCACGCCGACGACGCAGCCGCCAGGTGGATCACTCGGCTGTGGCACTGCTCTCAAGCGCAGGGTTCCCGGCAAGGAGGGCGGAATTTTGTGTTTTGAATAGGTGAAACAGTTGGTTGAAAGCGCAACCTTTGATCAGATGCCCTCAAAATGGGGGAATGTGCAAACGCAAGTGATACATTATAGAAGTCAACCATGAATTTATCCTGTTTGCTTGTGGCTTTTGTAGGAGCGAGTCGCACAGAATGCTTTTGGATATCCAACACAAGGCCTAAAGGCTTTTAATTCTACGATCCAGTCCTCCGCGTTTGATTCCACTATATACTCAGCGACGCTAAGCAGTGGATCAGATTGGAAGTGGTCTAGATCAGCTATGGTCTGTTTAATGAAAAAAATATAGATAGTTATAAATAAGGAAATAGATTTGTTTTTTTTTGTTTTTTTAATAACCGATTTTTGAAATCATGTTAAATCTAAAAGAATGTGTTTAAATCTTTAAAATCTTAAAGAAATCTTTAAGAAAATCTTTAAAATATCAAAATATCTCAAATCATCTCACAAGCCGGGGTTTCGTGGGAAAGGGTTTCGGAATTACAAAATAGTTTCCCAGGATCAAAATCTAAAAAAATAAAAACCTTAAAAAAGAAAACACTATGCTAAAATATGAAAAACATCTGAAAAATCATAGTTGCATGAAAAAAAACATAGGAGATCTAACCCGGGCAGATCTGATCCACTGCTTAGTCTCAGTGATATACTGTGTAGCAAGAGAGCAATCTAGAATCAAGAGGTTGTTTGGGGCAATGACCACAGGGTGGGTCCCCGGGTGGACATCCAGGTGTATCTTCTTGGGCGATGAGTCTCAACCGTTGTCTGAAGACACCCACACAACCGCCAACCAGTCGAACATGGAAAGAATTTGCATTTCGACTGGTTGTTCTACCCATTCCCTTTGACGATCTCTGCTGTAAGGCCGCCACAGAGTACAAGTGCGCAGAGCAATATGTGGCCCCTGATGGCAAACCAGAGTTTGAGGCCCAGACATGGAGTTTGACTGGCTGCACTGGAGTTTTGGAGTGGAGATGGCGAGGCTCATCGATGGCACCGGAGATCCATAGAACATATGCATGTGGGTTATGCAGTTATACGGTAATACCTGAGGCTTCGTCAGAGTGTATCACGCCTCAGAAGATCCAGGGCTAACTCTGTGGGGATCATTTGGGGAACACCGTGGTGTTCCTGGCGCGAAACAAACAGATCAACATGAGCTCTTTTGGGAGCTCGGGAGTTTGCCCGACACCAACGACACCTGGGCCCTGACCATCGGACTGGAATGAATAACATTAACCGACCATCCTGGGCCCCCCAATTATAGCTCCTTAGAGGTGATTCGGGGTATCCATTCACCACCCCGAAATCGGGGCCTGGTATTATCCGATATTGATCCTCAAAACATCGGTATCCGGTGTTCCTTTGGGGCTTGCCAATCAAGTGGATGAAGCGTTTTGATGGGCAGGGATGGTTCAGGGATGGTAGAAGTTTTCTCGTTCGGATCCACCTCTCTGCGAGACTCTCTCCTTTACTCACGGCCCAGTTTCGTTGGCTGGTCCGGAATGCTCGGAGGAAGTTACTTCCGGAATGCTCGTTGTGGTCCCCAAATTGATGGGAAGACCATCCATGGGACTGGAATAGTTACACCACCCATGGAAGGGTCAAATGTATACTTTTATGGGTTTTATGGGTGTTTTCTATATTTTTTCTTCTGGTGTGTGTAGCTGTTCCAGTCCCATGGATGGTCTGGCTTTGTAGAGAGGTAGTAGTGTCGTGCCGACGCACTTCAGGTTTGGAAGGGGCCATGGGATACGTTGCTCATCCATCAATAAAACACCCACCAATCTTGACAGTCAAAAAGCTTCTGCAGATGATTCTTAAAAGATTTTTGCACATATAGCCAACTGGATCGATGAATCCGAAAGGCTGGATCCCGCCTCTTGACATGTCGACTCACATGCACGTTTTTTCGTGGCATCATGGTGCACCGTGGCGCACCATTTCCATCAACCATTTTTGCAGCGGTTTTGATTGAGAGCCGGGGGGGACTGGTATTTCATTAAGGCTTTGAAGAAGACATTGATAGGTTCCGTCAGCTCAAGAACATGGGTAGCCGGGTAGCCGTGACAGCTACGACTCGAAGGATGTGAATCAAACATGCGGCCATTAATATTGCATGCATCTATGATCTAAAAGGTGGTTTATGTATGTTTATGTGGACTCTATCTTCTTCTCCACTCTGAGTCTGAGTCTGAAACCACTGTAGGGACATGCCATGACCTCCCACAACGCGGATGAGAAAATCAGAATGGCGAGCTGCAGGGCGCCCTCTTCTACTGTGAGAATGCCTTAGTGGCTTGCCGAGCTTTCATGCTCCTAGGCCTTATAGGGAGCTGGGCGTTCTGGAAGAAGTTGGAGCCACATGTTTGTTTGTGTGTGTTCTTTTTTAAGGGGTGGTCGAGAGGGGAATCCGACATCGAACCTCTCTAAAAAAGGGCACGAAGTGAAGAGCCTTTGTTTTGTTCTTTCTTCCATTTTTGAGCGACCCATTGCTTATTCATCTCATGGGCTGGATCTACTGGCACAATGCTTGTGATGTTGCAGCCCCCCGATTGGCACAAACATGAGCCATTGGACCCCAAAGAATGCCAGCGATCCATGGAAGGCGATATAAAGGTTCCCAAAGGGAGGGAAAGGGTGTCCAACAAGAATCGACAAATCAACAATACGTGGCCAAATGGACCATACATGAGAACATATTATAAAGTATTGTAAATATCAACAAGAAATGCGCTTCGCTTTGCCGGGTTTCATCCCTTGACACCGAGAAGGTCTTAGTTATTGGGAGCAAATCCAAGACATTTGCTGGGTAGGAAGCTGATAGACTCCGACTGGCGATCCACGAAGACATCTCCAGTCCATATAGGACTGGAAGTATCGCCATGTGTCACCACAGTTGGATTGATTTGTGAGTCTTCCAGGCAAGTACAGCTCTCTCAAAAGACCCGAAAAAGACTCAAACGGCTCAAATTTCAACATGGTGGTCCTGTCCTTGGTTTATGTTGGGGGTGTCCTATGACCTGTAGAGCCGTCGGTAAACAATTAATTGTCACTATTTTAGAGACTGACCTTGTACTAACCATCATCATCAACTGATTACAGGGATTATGGATTGTTAGGGATGGAACTATCGACAGCCCTTCGCCAATTCGCGGCTGGCGCACCAATTCGTAAGGCCCTGCACTGAGCAGACGCAGATCTTGCTTGCGGCCGGGCGTCTGAGGAGTTTTCCTTGTGGGTTCCCTATGGATCCACCGAACCAGGTCGGTACGGTGAGGACAGAGACTATTGATGTAGGTGGCCTTGCAGGGTCCAAGGACGCCTTCTGAGGTACGATGACAGTGGATCCAATAGGGGTTCTATGTGCACCCTGGTTCTTAGATTTTTTTGGAGTGATGTACCTCGAAGAAGTGGCATGGGAGTTGGTTCAATGAGTTGTCATCTACCACATCTTTTCCAAGGCAAGTCCAATAGACGGGAACAGGCCGGAGGTAGCGGTAGCGCTTCTTAATGAGAAAGGATAGACTACCCTACACTACTTGTGCAGCTCCATTGAATGGGCCACAGGGCAAGACGAAGACCCTGTATACGGATCATCTCACGCTCAACTTGAGAGTATCGCTGAGGGAATTGTTCAAAGACTTTCATGAATCGCCACCACAGTATTTTCTTTGGAATTCCATGTGTCTTTCAACACTGGAACAGCATGATTCGTTCAACGTCAAAACCACCCGTTTTGACCACCTCGCCGATCTCCAAGGACCGCCCCCGGCCACCGACATCGGACGTTGCGGACCGAGGTCTGGTGCCCCACGGGTGGAGCGACGCTCGCTGGTCTCCTCCTCTCGCGCTTGGAACTCCTACAGCCACCCGGTGTCCGCACCGTCCGAGCGGTACCTTGCGGTACCGATGTGGGGGACGGGTGGGGTTGGTCAAGCTCCAAAGAACGATGCAGCCGTACGGATGTCTTTGGAACTTTTCTTTTGTTGGGGATAGTTCTCTTCCAAGACGCTAAGAGGTATACTACCAAATAGGTACTACAGGCCAAAAAGGTACTACTTGTCAGGTGTCATGTGAATGTTTATCGCTTTGTCAAGCTGTTTTGTCAAGCTCAAACAAGAAGGAAACGCTTCTGAGGGAGATGTCTTATGATCTTGCAGTGCTTGAAGGGGATGGGCAGGATGGGTGTTTTTGTCTGTGCATTTTTTCCATTAACATCTTACCCGTTTTTTTGACGGGGATTGGTATCCTCTCATTTTACAGCATGATAATGATACGCATGCATGTACCCCAGATGTTCCCCATGCATTTACACATGCATTCTTGTTTATTTGTGTTTTAGTCTGGGTCGCACCCTGCAAGCCCGCAGCTGTGAACATGTGTCATGGCCTCTTGTGTTGTGTGCGTGACTTCCTGGGTGGTGGAGTCAAAACCAACCGGGGTGCCTGTGACGTTCGGGATGTACCGGCAACACCGGCAGCTTGCCCATCTAAACAGAAGAGTTGTTTAAAGTGATATTCCCCTGTTTTGAGGCACTAGGCTTCCCATCTCAGGTCTGGTATGGTGACTGGTGATCTCCAAAAGTCGAAGAGGTGAATCACTCGAAAACGGCGGTATTGGAAGAGATTGGTAAGGTGTGAGAGCGTGAGAGCCAAGCTATGAAGTGCCAAAACCGATGCGTTTACTTTTGACTGCTTGTACACCAGAACCAGGGACCATCCAACCAGAACTGGGTGTCCAAGATCGACACCCAGTTCTGGTCGGATGCAGAATTCGCCATCGAAACGAGTCGAAACGAACCAAGGAAAGAGCTTGAATGTCTACAGCCTTTGCTGAAGCATTCAGCTGGACAGCCCTACTGAGGAATGCATCACGCGACTAGCTGATGTCAACATGGTCAGAACAAAACCATTTGTTGGCATGCAAGATCCCATACTATAGCATTGCCTAGAAGTCCAAAGTAAGATGTATTAAGATGTAAAAAACATGCAATGATGGGCAAATGCTTAGTCCTGCAACATCATTGAGTATGATGTTTGCGAGACAGGATCCAGCAACACAAGGTCACATAATGTTGTAAAATGTTGTAAACACTAATAGTAAGGTTCAAAACGATATCAAAATGCGATAACATGCGTATATAATATATAATATGTATATATGGCTAGGGGATGAGTTTGGACACGTTGTTTTTGTCATAAAACGTGGGTCATCAAGGAAATTGTCGTGGTTTTCACCAAGCCACGTTTCGCCGTCACTGCTTCTGTCGTTTCCAACGTCGGTTTCCGCCGATCAGCTGCGAAGACAGACGGGAAGAAAGAGGCCAAAAGCGCGCCGCACCGGTGGGGCGCGGCTTGCCTCGAGGCATAGCACGTATATGCCAGTATACATGTGCCATGCTTTGTACATGGATTGTTGGGGAAACATCCTCCCGGTTTTTGCTTTATTTGCCTTACGATCGTTCCGCATCATAGCCAGGATTCGGCCTTTCGAAAAGATGAGCGTCATGCGACATTTGGATATCGACTTCACACAGAGTTCAACAGCTTTGGTTTTGCTTGGACTGATATAAGATATTACAATTACTGTTACGTGTTGTCCCGAACGAATCCCTTGGAAGGGGATTCTTTTTGGCAAAAAAACAAGACCGGCAGGTCAACCGGGCGATCCACGACGGGCGATCTCTTGGATTCCACCGGGCTCTCTGAAAATCAGGGCCTCCAGGGATCGTCGCGGCACGTCTTCGGTAGAAGGAACGTCTTGGGATGGCCTCGTATTTTTGTTTTTGGAGCAGGTTTGGCAAGCTGGTGAAGCAAGGAACGTCACACTGAAGGGGTGTTTTTGTTGTTTCTGGGAGATTTGGGCGCAAGGGCAGGGAAAGATGGTGAAATAATGTGAGGTTCATTTGCATGGCAGCATTTGCCAATTAGCATCTTATATAGCGCTAGTGTGCACTATAGTTGATGTACAGAAACCTGAACATGTTGAAGCACCATGCTTGATTGATCCTGGAACGGTCACATCAAGTCTTTTGAGGGGACTTCTGAGGGGACCATGCTTTTTCTCCAAAGCCTCAGGGACGGGGGTTGTGGTTTTGGTGAGTTGGTGTTTTCACTCGTTTGGCAACAGAGTTGTTATTGGATGTTATTGGTTTGGTTTGGTTTATCTTGGCACACTGCTCTTTGCTACACACTGTGTGCACCGTTTCTCAAGCAACATTGAGCCAACGACTGTTTTTTAATGGCAGAGGAACTGTCTCTTGAGGGAATGGAAAGAATGCAAACAAACACCAAGCGGCTCGAGGTTTCTCACTCCTCGCTGCACCAGATGTGCCAGCACGAAAAGGAACAAGGAAAGCACGAAAGGATTATACATTATAGAAATATACAACCTATATACACGATAGAAAGATACAAAAAGTAATCGACCCCAGCAACTGCTCTTTGGACCTGCTTTGACAACAAAAACAGCACCGGTTCTAGCGCCCGCGCCGCCCCGCTCACCTCGACAGCGTCCGAAGAGCAACATGGCGGCTGGAGGGACGAAGGAAGTGAGCAGGAGCAACGGCACCAAGACTCGCGATGCGCCCATCGCGTATCCTTTGGTGTGTTTGGGCGATGAAGGGTCCCCAGATGCTCGAACTGGAACGGTTTTGATCCGCTTTTGGCAGGGGTGAAAGGACTTGAAGCCTTCCCTTCGCCAGAACTTGGCTCCTTGATTCGGGTGATGAACGTATTTTGCCAGAACACTGGGTCCGGAGTCAGCTTCGGATGTGGGGGAGTCTGAAAGATCTTCCGTATTCGTGCTAGGGTGGAGGCTATATAGCTAGTAGGTTGGAGGCCAGTTTACAGTAGGTTTCCTTGCTATTAGGCTGGAAGCCATCGCTACTTATATCGATCTCATCGTTGGCGCCACTCGAAGCGCGCTGGCGCGCTTGGAGGCGCCACTTGGACGGCCTCGCTCTTTCGGTCGCCGTCGGTCAGTGTTGAGTCGCCTTGCTCGAACTGGACTGAACAGACGAACCCTCTCTGGACTGAAGTCCATGCAGGTCCATGCAGGTTTGAGGGCTTCTGATTTAGTGGATTTTGGTTTTCAGGATCTTCCAGATCTTTGGATGATGGGTTTTTGAATGTTTTTGAGGGCTGAAATTGTGTCAAAACTGGTTGACTTCAGCATGTGGCGCATCATCCCAACAAATGCCGATTCAGCATGCGACTTCCTTGTTCGTTGCACTCCTCCGACCGTTCGGAATCGCTCGCTCCATTCGTGCTTTCGACCCTTGGGAATTCGTCGCCTTCAGGACGATGATCACCTTTGCGCGCAAGGGACGCTGGGAGGGGGATGCCGGCATGAAGCAACTCCTGTCCGAGGCGGCGAGCACCCTGTGACGGAGCGGCGGGAAAATAGAAACAGTTTGGCTGGCAGAAATGGCTGCGGATGGGGTGGATAGGGGGTGACAACCTACCACGCTGCGAACAAACCAATAAACCCGACCGCCACACGCTCTCTATACTTGGTTTGCATTGCGGGGTAGGTGCTGCGCCCTTCTCCGCACCCACTGCTGTCTTACCAAGGAACCAAGAAACCAAGCAGCTCTCCACTATCTATGCTGAGGTCAAGACTCACTCACCTAAAAAAGGATTTGATAATTGGTGCGTCTGGATGCACATTTTGGCGTTGTTCACTGCGCAAAGTTATATAGGTACCTCTACCCGAACCGAAATTGACGCATAATTAGGGGGCTCAAAGACGAGAAATGCATAGCACGAATCTCGATGCCTAAGTCGATCGAGCCAAAATTTAGCAACGATAATATACAAAATGATGAACAAGTTGGATCACCAATTCCCTCATTCAGAAGACTTCCTATGAAGACTTGGTCGGGGATGGAAGAATCATTAAACATCACGTCCTGCCGCCAGGAGTCCTAAGGAATATATACCGGACCATCCAAAAGTACTTTAGAATCAACAGGGACCTGACCCTGTCGAAGCAGGTACGACTGTAATGACCCATTTTCTGAATGACTTTGAGACTCCAGGTACGAAAAATACCTGGACTTCCTCATGGGCAGAAGTGTCTGCTGTTTTTTGTCCGTGCTCAGGCGTTGTTGCTTAGGCATGTCATGGTCCTCATGGTCCTCATGGTTCCAGGAACGATGAACCGGCGAACGTCCGAGATCGACCGGTTTTCTTCCAGATAGGGCATGAGGTTGTTTGGATCCTAAGGCATCTATAATAGTCCAAATAGTAGCTGGTCATGATCATTATTGGTCATTCCATGGAACTCCACTACTTCGATGGAACGATGGTGCGGGACAGGCCGTGAAGATGCACATCGACTTGGACTACAACGAACGGCCCTTTTACAGGCAGACGTGGGACGAGGGGAGGGGATGGGAGGAAGGTGGGGAGGTTTTCTGGGCTGACTATAGAAGAGATAGAGAAAAAGGAGGACATTACGTCATTACATATGTTTTTCATTAAATGACCATGGTCAAGGAGTTCCACACAAATTGCAGTATAAGTGCTGAGTGGAGACATGGTCACCCCTAGCCTTTGGCAGCCACCCCTTTAGATTGCTTTGGACGACTTTGGAACTGGAGGAAGCCCTTCAACCCTTATTCCTCGGCTTATTCTTCCAAGCATGTGAGAGTTTGACAGCATGATAAAACATGTCGTGTGTTCTCATGATCACAGATTCAAATTGAGAATTGATGGACAGGGGATGCTAGCTGCTTCGCCTGCCTCTAGTGTTACTTGCGCAGCTTCGGTGCCCTTTGCTTGGTGAAATGCTCTCCTGCCCTGTTCACTCCCACTCTTCGAAGATACGAGTCACCAAGAAGGAACTGCATGTTCAAGGGTAATTATACATGTAATTACAAATTGTCCTGAAACCGACTCTCGATCCATCCACCTGTTGCTTACATCATCAAGGATTTTGACCAGTTCTTCTTTTTCACCAGGTCTGCCCTGTGGGAAGCCACTTGGCGCAATCACGAGGCTGGATGGTCTGACACGGGGGCCGGAGCGGGGGGCCGGGCCCCGGCTAGGCCAAAGCACCATCGATGGGTTCGCGCCCCAGGACCGCAGGAGTCTCATATTAGGCGCCTTTGTGCTGGAAAAGCAAGAACTCTTTTCAGGAAAGATCCAGAGCAAGTTCTTGGCAGACCATTCTTTTTAGGTTTCAGACTTCAGCAGGGGTACTGTAGCAGCTCCGGGTGACACCACATCCCAGAGTCCTGGCTGGAAGACCAGCCATGACCAGATGCGTTTAGAGGATCTCCAGTTTTCCGCTTCCCACGTGGCGGTTCCGCTGGGTCACACGGAACGAACTCGCCGCTGGTAGCTTCACCCTGTCTTGCTCGTCCATTCTGTTCATTTTCGCTGGGACCAAACCGATAGCTCTCTCTTGATCAAAGCCCGATAGCTGTGATGTGCCTCAGTAAGATGCCTAACTGTCTAACTGGGTTGACGTTGATAGCTGGGACCAAACCGACTGGTTCCATATTCCACATGGACCGTCACCGCCGTCATGCAGGTTATCGTTAAAGCCTTGGTGGAGAAAGGAGCTGCCATCGATTTCAAGGAGAGGAAGAAGACGAATGGTGCCGCATGCTGTCGAAGTGTACGGCGTTTTCTGCTTGAAACCAAGAAACCCTATATCCACCGTACCTACCGTACCTCAGAAGGCGGACCCTCCTGGCGACCGACCGACCGCCTACATCAAGGACCGTCTCTTTGCTCACCGTACCTTAGTGGATCCATAGGGAAACAACCGTCCATTGCACAGAGACCGGCCTCAGCAAAGAGACCGAGCTGAGACGGTTCACTCCAGTGCCACCAGTTCATCGCGGAATCAGTGCGCCTGACAATGCTGGCACTCGTTTTCCGGAATCCAAGCGGTATGGCCCTACCGCATGTGTTTTGGCACG